ATTAATCTTTCTAACTGGTATTTGGTATCCTCCTAGGGTGCAATATTTAAGGTTGTGGAGTGATTGCTGGACACATTAAATTTTCACTGGGATCGTTAGCTAGAATTTCTGTCATTGATCTATTATAACCTTGTTAATGAGTTCCATGTGAGTGAAATTTAGTGTATGAGACAATGCTTTCTAAACTTTGCTAGGTGAATGTTTAATAATTACTTTAGGCAGTTATACTTGTATATCTAAAAGATAGCCTAATTTGCCAAAATAATAATACCTAACTAGACTAAATTCACTTAGGGATAGAATTTCATAAAGAAAAACCACAGCATTGTTGGAATAATTAATCAGCCAATGTATATTATATGTTTACATTTCATCCATGAATCTGCTTAAAACGTCACAAAATGCCATAGAATTTAAAAAGAAGCCAAACATTTATCCTTCATATTCTGAATTAATTGAAATATAAAAACTTTACCGTGATCATTTATCTCACTAAAAATTTTTATGCTCAATTTGATTAAAATTAATTCTTCCAAAAAGAACCACTATTATAAAAAACAGTATTATTTGAAATTGCTCAATTTTTCCTTTCCAATTTTATAGTTAATAACAATTTATTTTACAACTGCAAAAGTCAAAAAATTCACAAGCTCTACCTCTATTACTTTTACATTCTGAAGAGGTTGATTTTTCAGTTCCTAAGAACAGGCGGCTTCTTAAATATATGATAACCTAATATGTGAGCTGGAGACTAAAAAAAATTCCTTAACGGAATTAGAGTTTAGACTCTTTGAGAAAGGGTTTTCTAGTTACAAAACCCTCAGTTACTATTCTACTCTTTGGATTGGGTTGCTTCTCCCTGACCCACCCTGGAAGTTCTATTGCTGATATGAAACTCCAATCTGTCTACTAATTATTACTAACATAGAGCTCAAACCTTGGCTTCCTAGGAGCTGGCTTCCAAACAGCAGTAGCCCTGGGTGGAGAGAAGATTGAATGGAACCTTTGGTAATATATCTTCTCACCTCCCTTTCTGCCAGAGCCTCTTGTCACTAGTTGTCATCAGATGTAATAACCCGCTATATGATACACTCATTTCTATAAACTGTCTACTCATACTTGGATTTCCAAGTCTCAAAATGCATGAAATATCT